GCTATTTAGTAGCGCGTTCAAATTATGACTTTGATATTTACATTTTACTGACCTTTTTTCTTTTCTTTGAGCATGAAATTAAGCATTTGGTTTGATATTTATGTTTAATTTTATAAAAATATATAACTGATTGATTGAGGACTCTTAATAGTGGGTTTTTTTCTGAGTCTTGAAATCTTCATTCATTCAGAAGCTGACTTTTTCTCTTCTTGGCTCATTGGCTAGCTGTTCTGCCATGGGTCATAAATGCTTCTCTCCATTTAAGTTTCCTGAAAGTTTGAGAAAAAGACCTAATTTTATGGCTTGTATGTCAAGTTACACACACTAATAAGCTGTGGTATGATCAGAGTCTTAAAACAGTTTTTATAGAAAAGAGAAAGATGTATACAAAAATGTTAATTTTTAGTGTAATGAATATTTTGCTGATAGGAACAGAAAAGCTTTGAAAATGAGAATTTCACTTGAAGGACACGTCCAACTCATCCTATCCATTTTCAGTATGGTGCAAAATGCTATGGCCTGGTCCAGGGAGACACGTCAGGCAGCATGTAACACAACAGTGGTTGTGTGTGAGGTCCTTTAAAACCTCTGCCTATGTTTCACAGTGTCTCTGCTAGATCCAAGGGCTTGACTGGACTGAATTCCTTGCTGTATAAAAGAATTCCTGCGTGATGGAAAGACTAAATTTTGGACTGTGACTCATTCATCTGTCTTGGTGAAGGGACTGACAACCAGCAGAGATGTGGCAGGTGGGAACAGCGATTACTTTGGCTCCATTGCACAGTTGTGTATGTAGTAATATTTTAGGTGAGTCATTGAATCTTTTATTTAAAACTCCTGAGTTTATCTAGGTCTTTGGTTTTTGTTTTTGGATTTTTTGGGTTTTTTTTTTATTTTTATTGGCTTTTGTTTTGGGTTCAGCTTCTCTAATTTTGACTCCTTTCTATAACAGAAAGATACCAATTTATTTATTATGGGACTGTTGGAACATAATCATTAATGGGTGGGTGCAAGGCATTCAGCTGTTGTGAAGGAGGCAATATAATCAGCTAGAAATATTGCCTAGATGGATGTGGGCATTTTGGGATAACTTTATGGGCTGTGAGAAGTCCTGGGGTGGATGCATCTTTGTGATACTATAAAGAACCCCAACAAACAAAACAACCACCATAAAACGATACAGCTATTTCTCCTTGACCGTGTTTAAAATTTATTCATATTTATAAATCACAGACCTGAACTGCTATGTAGTTTATCAGATTAATTAAGAAAAATGAATAGACCATTGAATTTAAACACTGTTGGCCAGCTTATATTTAATGGTATTCACTTTTTACTGTCTTGGGAAATGTTGCATGTTTTTGCTTCTGGCTTTCACGGTGTCATCTCTTTGGCTGCTGGAAATCTGTGCACAGTTATTCTTCTGAAGCACTCATGGAAAGGTAACTGGCTTTTCATTTCATTACTTTTTCAGGTGAATGGCACTTGTGTCTATTTTTATTTTTCTTTTCTACCTTCTCTGTTTATTCTCTCCTTCTGTCTGTTAGAGGTATATTAATCAGAGAGATATTAAATGTTAGATTTCTAAATCTAGGATCCTATTATGATCCCTGCTATACAGATTGCAATTTGACATCTCAAATAGTCATCTAATGTTTAGATATTTCTTGATGACATCCAGTCACAATTTCCTCTAAACAGCTTGCTTGCAGATTCAGATGTAATGCATTGCATCTTGGCTAGTAAAGATTTTAATGTTAAGCTTAACCATAAGATTACAGTGACTGTAATCACTTTTTGAAGACCCTTGTGGTCTTAGCCAATATAGCAAAAGACATCAAATAATCCAAGCAGTTTCCTAATCATATTACTTTTCCCTCCCAAAAATCTAGATTTGATTATTAATGTGTAAGTGTGGGAGGAAATAAAAAGGCTCAGAGATAATTATTTCTTAAAGTTGGGTAAATAAAAAAAATCACAAAATATAACATTTTTGAATGTATTTGATGTAAAACATGAAATCTTGATTATCTCTTTAGATTAAATTTATTATAGAATGTGTTCATTTATGTTTAGGTGATTCTTTCTGAACATTTTTTTCAGAAAAGAGTTTTAAATATTATCTGTAAAATGTTAGCTCTATGTTCTTATTGACATAACATTCAAACCTTGCATGTCACCAGATGAGAAGGTCTCCTTCCTGAATAGAGATTTACTAAGCTTCTGAATCTATGTGACCAAATAATTGTTCTCAGCTCCATCAGAATAAAGGGCTTACTTCAAATCTAAATTCACAGAATTATGGATCGTATGGACGATTTAAAGTGACATCAGTCAACATGATTTTTGTAACTATTTAGAAATGTTAACTCTGTTAAAAAAGTGTTAAAGTTTTTAACAGAATACTTTACAAGTAAGCCAAGACATCCTCAAAATGTATTTGAAGATATATACCAAAGAATTTTTACACCCACCGATGTTATATGGAAATCACTCACTTAAAGATTAAGTATTTAAATTATATACAAGGCAGGAACTGTATAATTACTGAAAAAAATATATATACTGATTTTTTTAAAGTGATTTTGTGCTTCCTATTTCATACATGTTGATGGAACATGTTTAAATATATTGTGTTTAGTGATGTAACCTCCTTTTTTACCAATATGCTTAATTCACAAGGGATATTTTTTTGTATAAGTGGGCATAACTAGTGTTGTTTTCCACTTACTTGAAGTTGAATGAAAAAAAAAACTAGTAGTGCACTCTTTGTTTCGAGGGTTGTGCTGCATTAACTTCACACTCCTGAGCTGAGAGTTCACTATAGAACTCCATCCTGTGCACCTATTTCAGTGATTTTTTTTTTTGATGAATTTGAATTTGTGACCCAATCCAAAATCCATAAATTAACTTTATAACAAAAAGAAGCTCTAAAAGCTTTTTGATAACATATTTCCCTCTAACAGAAAACATTACTTGCTGTTAGCTTTTAATTTGAGCAAGAAAACTGAAAACTCTAGAATAAAATGTGACCGGTTTGAGTTATTTATTAGATTAAATACAGCTAGCAGTTAAAGAAACATATTAATTAGCATTATTGTTAATGAACTGTATTCTTTCACCAAAATTGTGTAGGTTCTGTTACCAAGTTGCATATACCCACCTAGAATTTTTCAGGTTTCTTATAGATTTTGGTATCACTGAATAGTATTTATTGTTGTAAAAATCTTTTAGCAAGCTGCTCCACCATCTCAAAACAGAATCCTTTAAAAACATCCATATAATTTGAGAATGTATGTAATAGAAATACATCCAATAGAATTCTTTTTTCAGAAGTGCTTTAATACCTTTTTTAAATGATGGATAACTCTCCATCAAGCATTAAGGGCTACATAATGGATATATCATAAAATTACCAATGTAAGTTTTCTTCCATTCTTTTCAGATTATGGATCAATTATGATTTTCTAAAGATTATGGGGTATCCTTCACTTTTTTCTTAGAAATGCTGAATATTGCTGACTGCATTTGTTTCTGTATTTTGTGTGGGATACCTTTACTAGAAATTGTAATTCTAGTTAAAACATCGAATTGAGTTCTTAGGTACCCTGTTAGTTCCCATACTTTAGCTGGTTGAGAATAATGATAGGTGAGGAAAGGTTAGAATTGAGATTTTTGAAGTCACATTTTCAAGGGGAACACCATTCCTGAGCCACCAGGGGTATGTTTATGTTTGTTCATTCAGTTGCCATCTGAGAGAGATGAAACTGATCCCTAATATATTAGACAGAAGAGGGAAACAAATAGCAATAAATGAGCTGATCCTGCTAAGGGGAATAAAAGGAATATCTAGAAACTGGATACTAGAAATGGTAAGGGAAGATAAATATGGAAGGCATTCCCAAGGAGAAATGATGTTACACACTTAAAAAAAGAAAAAACAAAAAACCAACAAGCCTCCCTCAAAAAAAAACCAAAAAACACAAACAAACAAAAAAAAAAAAGAACCCCAAAATACCCCAAAAACCCCAAAAAACCAAACCAACAATAAAACAAAAAAACCAGTCTACCACCAGATGATTAGTTGTTTAACTTTGACAGTGATGCCACTCTTGAGTTCTTGCTGAAGTATATAAGCAATATTATTTAAGGAGGTCAGTGCTTTTCTGTACCTGTATTTTAAGAATAAGGCCTTATTTTGAGATTTCAAGCATCCCAGGTGATTGGAGAATTCTGTGTTTGTGAAATGCTTGACTATGAAAAGAATGAGATAAGCTTGTAAGAATATCTTAGGTTAGGAAAATGTGATTGGAAAATATATTGCACATTGCAAATATATACATGCCAAAATTTATGCTTTTTTTAAAAATGTACTTTCTATAATTTGCACTGATAATGTTTTTCAAAATCCCTCTTGCAAGTTAGGCTTAAAGAGGAGAGTTAGTTTTTGTAAAGCTTGTCCCATCTGGCTGTGTGTTTCTCACTTCTGCTGTAGAAGTTCATGGTCCAAAGGAAATCTGACTGTAGGTTATACAAAAAAAAAATGTAAATTAAACCTGAAACATAAAAGATCGTAGGGAATCATAATTAATCTTCTGCTTTTGACCCTCATCATCTTTATTTTATTACTATTCATTATTTTCTTTACTGATTTGCCTTGGTGTCATCTTTTATATGCCAAAATATTCATGGTGCCTCATAAAGTGCTGCTGTTTGGTACAGCTGGGTTAACAGGCCTGTGAAATCAGAGTATAAATTCCTCAGCATCTTAGCTTTTGCAAGCAAAAAATGCTGTGACAAAGTACAGTGTTGCTGAAGCTTATTACCAGTGGTGTCTGCTTGCAGTGAAAGCAGCACACCCCAGAATGTCAGGCAGTGGGACTGTTGTGGAGAGGGGTAATTGGGAACAATAAGCCAGTCTCCCTGCCGGGCAGATTGCTATTGCCTTTCTCCTCCCTTATACCTGCTGCCACTTCAGGGCAAGGAGTTATGGCAATGATGGTTCCCTGGCAGAGACAGCGGGGGAGAGAGAGAGAGTGTGTGCGTGTGTGTGCGTGTGTGTGTCCGTGCGGGCGCCCCGGCCCCTTCCCCGCCCCGCCGCATTGTGGAGGGAGGGACCGCGGCCGCCTCCGCCGCCGTGCGCGGCCGGGCGCTGTCCGAGGTGCTGAGCCCGGCGGGACGGGCGCTGTCCGTGGTGCTGAGCCCGGCGGGACGGGCGCTGTCCGTGGTGCTGATCCCAGGAGAGCCGGACGACGTCCGGGTGCTGACCCAGCGGGGCCCGGAGCTGTCCGAGGTGCTGAGCCCGGCGGGGCCGGGAGCTGTCCGAGGTGCTGAGCCGCTCTGCCCGGGCGACACCATGGTTTTCGCTCCAGGTAAGGGCAGCTGCATCCCGATCCCAGCCGGGTAGCCTCGCAAGAAGGCCCCGGCTGTGCCAGAGAGCTGCTGTGGGGAGTGTGTAGTGCGTGAGGCAGAGCTGCCAGCAGGCAGAGGCAGGTAGGTTCAAAGGAGGTGGTTTAGCTTAGGATTTCTTTAGCTGTGGATCCAAAGGTTATGAGGGTCACCCCTGTGGTTCTCACCAGGGACAGGAGCCTCCTATAGAAGTCTGCAGGGTGCTGTGCTTGTCAGACTGCCTTAAAGGGTCACGAAGGAGGATGTGGCCTTTCAGTAACTGGAGAGTGAGTCCCCCTCTGCGCCCGCAGTAGTGGCTGTCAATATGACCATCCCTGAAGCTCATGGAGATAATTTACAAATTTCATTTCCTCTTTCCTCTCCCTCAAAACAAAATAAGTATTTGAATGAAAGAGAACAGAAAGTTTGATTAGTCCAGTTTTTTACTGGAACAAAATTTAAGATTTCAGCAGTTCATGTCTAATGTGAGATCTCACTGTATAAGAGTGCAGAATCTGTAGTGCATAGTATACTTTTGTGTTAACCCATAAAAGAACCAATTTTTAATTGGATTTGATACATTCTGCTTGGAAATAGGCAGTTGGTTGTTCGGAAAAGGATGAGAGTAACAAGAGGCCCAGTAGCTCCAGGGTGTAAATGTAAGTCATGCATAATATCTTCTGTAAGGACATGACTTGTAAATAACTTCATTAAAGATGTATAACTTTCAGTAAATTAGTGGGTCAATAGAAAAGAGAAAGTGAACAGTGACAATTAATAACTATTAATACCTTTGTTTTGCAAAGTTAACAGAAGTTTTATCTTCCGTGAAATTCTATATCCAGTCTCTGAAAGGGTAAGAATCCAGAAGTTTTCATATTAAAAAACTTACATATAAAAAAACTTTCATATAAAAAAATCTTTCATACTCAAAAAAAAAAAAAAATCTTGGGACTGACTTTGCTTACTCAATTCAGTTTCATTTTTTGAAAAAAATAGTGTCTCTTTTCAATAATCTCACTAATTTTGTCTATTTAACTGCCTGGTTGCTCTCCAATTTCATATGTTCATGTTTACATCATGTTCTGAAATTAGGAGCAAGTTTTTTTATCTTAATAGAATGAGCCACTGCTTTTTGTGATAAACTTTTCATCATTAGTTCTTTCCTGAACTCGTTTTCTCTGTCCACTGTCACCATTAACTGTAAAAGTTTTTTAAATGCCCTGTGGGACTGGAATACTTCAGGAAGAGATTGCTGCTAAAATAATGGAAACATGCATGTTTTTTCTCTAAAGGCTGACAAAGAACAAACCCCAAAGCTCATTAATAACTGCATGAATTGTTCTTTTCACAACTCTAATCCACAGACGGAAAAAAAAATCCTTTGTTCAAAACTGTTATATATAGTCATTCTTCAAGCATACTCTTTACTTATGGTTTGTCTGAACAAACACTTTACTCAAAGAAAAGCCTATGGTCTCCTTATAAATGTTGTCATAAAATACATAGAGCAACTAAATGGGAATTTGTAAAAGAGATGATAAAACAATCTTTTGGGTTCAAACAGAGTAAGCCTGAGTAGACTCCAATTTTTCATTGCTTTTCTTCCCTGGCATTATCTCTTCAGAATATATTTAAAAAAAAAAAAAAAAAAAAAAAAAAAAAGAGGTTTATGCATCTTTAGCATCTTCATAGTACTTAAGGCCATATGATATAAAAATACTATAAGTCTGATAAGAAACTGACATTCATTTCTTCAGTCAACTTTCTGATTTTATCTCACTATGATGAATGACCTCATTTTCTGTTCCATTTATTTGCTGGGGTGTGAAGGCAGAGTAAGTAAAAATTTATCTAACTGTAAATTGTTAGGGTCAGACTGATAAACTTCTGGGATGGGATAGAAAAAAGAAAACAAAACAACAATCAAGAGGAAATTCTTTTCCAGAAACAAAAAATATGGAAGTACTTTAACTGACAACAAAGATAAGATTTTGCAGATGAATAAGATAATGGTCTTTTTCTTAAGGTCTTGGATATGTTATTTCAGAACTCTGAATTAATGGGCTATATTTATAAACTACTAAGTAGAAGCAGCTTATCAAGTTTAAATAACTTAAAAAGGTGAAGCCTTTGCTGACTATTTACTGAATACATACTTTGCTGTTAATCATCAACTCCCTAAAACTTGCATCTCGTATGTTGAAAAAATTACACAACAAAGCAGCACAAAATTAAAAAAACCTCCAAAGAAGCCTAGCTATTATTGAGATAGGTAGATAGAAAAAATATTATAAAATGGCCAGTATTCCATGCCAAAATAAGACCTCCTGGCTCATTTTAGACAGTGTACTGCTATTTGTAGGTATGCAAAATGTATTCTTCATTTTCTTCATTTATTAATATTTTCCATCCCTCTTGAAATTAACATTGAGACTGTTCCAGAAAAGGAATTAAGGGTGCATTTTTTCTTTTCTTGGTTTAATTTGACTGGGGCTTCATTGCGCTGTCTTGTGCTGATTGATTAATGATGTGCTGATGTATAGGAAATGCAGTCCAAACTCTGTGAGATGTCTGGGCATTCATTTTCTTGGATAATTCACACATGTTGTGCTGCTCTTAGTATGGGGGCATGATACATGAAATTCATGCAAGCTATGCATTACAAGGTTTAGTTTCTTTACTTTTCCTGAACTGAAACACTTTAGGCAGTTTGAGAAGTAAATAACAGTGTATTATTTTAAATTTCATATAAGGATGGATGTACGTATGTCTGCAGTAGAGAAGCATGAAATTTCAAGGATTAGATCAAAAAGCAGAGAGAAGTAATAATTTTCAATTGGCAGATCTTATGAAATTTTAAAAAAATTTTCTTTAGAAGATTGTATTACAGAATTTTAAAAAATATCACTGCCAGATTAATAAAATACTGGTAACTATAAATAATTCCACAGATTAAATATATGATATTGTGAGGTAGGAAAGGAAGAGGAATTAAATAATTTATTTGTTCTAACACATTAGTAAAAATTAGATTATGCAGCAAGTTTTATGCTGATAGCAGATCATTAGTTTACAAAGATGTGATCACTTCCAATATCAGTATTTACCAGATTTAACAGTAACTTTAAATGTTGCTGATCAAAGTCAGTTTTTTGCAGACTTTTACTTTTCCAAAATTACCTTGGGCATATTCCTTGCTTCTTTTCATTTCCAAAATGCTTTCCTAATGCAAAGATAAAAAAAATACTCTTTACTTATGGTTTGTCTGAACAAACACAATACAAAGGTGTTTTTCATGCTTCAAGACTTTTTTTCTGATGCTATTTTGCACAAATCACTCAAACACTTATGTCTTACTCCTACTCTGTAAAGCCATAAATAAAATAACCAAATAATAGAGTCTCATCACTGCAGGCCATAATTGTTTCATCCAGTACAAAGCTGTGAATTTTTTTTTGTTTCTTGTTTATTTGTTTGTTTGTTGGCATAGTTTATTTTAGAAATGAATCCATTTTGAACTGAATACCTCAAGAAAGATTGGAATATTTACACTGACAGGTTGTTTCAGGTCAAACACTCCCTTTCTTAAGCTTATGCCTGTTTGAATTGTGTGATTTCATCTTTCAGGTTAATCTTGTTATTTATCAGTGTAATTTGAAGAATACCTTTTACCTGACAGTTTTTCTATAACTAGAAACTCAGATGCTTTACTCAACACCCTATAGTTCTAAAAGAAGGAGGAGTTAGAATTAATTTTTGTATCAATATTTTTGTGTTAAAAAAAATGTGTGAACACAAAGTTTAAAGATAGACATCAGAGAAGTCAGAATGTTCATAGCTCAGTGCCTTTTTCGTGCAACAGCAACACCAGTAGGCTTTCAACAAGCTTTTCATCAGCACAGCTGTTCTTAACATTTTTAAGCTGGGAGAAACATAGCAGACTTGTATAATGACACTGAAGATCAGAAATGCATCCTGTACCAAACATTTTAGGAATCTCATTACACTACAATTGAAGACATAGCAGATGCATACGGAAACAGATGTTCTTACTGGTCTGAATAGTCCTGATCTTCTCCAGTGGAAAAGCTGGGATAATAACAACCTGTTGTGTTGCAGAATGTGAAGGTGTGAAATTTCTTGACATATTTTTAATTTTTTTTTTTTTTTTTTGATTATAGTGTTACAGGTATTATTGCAGATTCCTGACCACAATACCCAGATCAAGACAGTATGGAAGGGCCTGTTCATGAATGCAAAAAATGCTATCATTAACTTCTTCGAAGGTACCCTGTTGTGGGATATCTCCACTGTTTGTGCTGACTATGGTACTCTGGCACTCAGTTATAGAGTGTCTTTCATCCATGAGAACAATGCAGGACACAGTCCTTGTCCTTATTAACTGCTATGCTACATTCTGCTAATGCTCTAAGTTCTGCAGTCCCCCCAAAAATCTTTAATAAAAAATGTAGAAGTGTATACATATAGGATTCTTATTTGATAACTTCATGTTGATAAAGTCCATGTGTAGGACATAATTTGAAAGTGAAAAACAAAACTATTTGCCAACCTCATGCTGTCATATAGTGGAAGTTTAGTCCAGTATTTGTTATAGCTGGTAGTGAGTATGGAGGCCAGTTGCTGCCCAAAAGTGTCTGAAAGCATTTACAGCTCTCAACAGTACCAGTTCTTCCTACCAGTGTTTGCCACCTGGTAGGAAGAAATCATATAGGAGGAAATTCCTTATTCTCATTTGCTGAAGAAAAATGCTTCTTGTGCTGACCTTTTCCTAGTGACACATTGATCTTTCCCCTGCTGTGAAACTCCACTAGCAGACCTCATTGGTGAAGTGAAAGAAATTTAGTTCATAGATATTCAGAAATGTGATGAAATGAGTAAGTTAAGAAAATAATCAACAGTCCTAGGTACAATCTTTCTTTAAATACAAATAAACATGGTGTTTGAAAAATGGCACAGAATTTATTTTTTCAAATAATTTTTAACAGAACTGAAGTCTTTAATAAGCGAGGCTGACACCTTTCACTTTGGTGTCTCAGGATTGAACCCTATTCAGGTTTGGTGTGAGAAGAATTTTGTTATCACAGTGGCTGTGTATGGCCTATATTAAAGGCGTTGTTCATAGTTGGGGGATAGTGGTAATAAACGATATAGTCCTTATTAACATCCTTACTGGAACTGTTTATTGAACAGGAAAGTCAAATCATGAATGTAGAAAAGGAATGAGTTACACTGACCTCTAGAGTTTGTTCGTCCAAGTCATTATTCTTGCAGGTGAATTGTTTTCTTGTACTTATTACAGACATAAATAGTATCATTCCAATATTATATGTTTTATTGTGATAATGGAAATAAATACCCTTACAGTAAAATACAGTGAAAGATAGATTTTTTCATATACTTCCAATCTTGTCTGTTAAAGATTTTTTAAGGATATAATACATTGTGTTACAAATAGTAGGTTAAGCAAAAATAATGCGCAAGCAATGCATTTAAATTTATTTATAGCTTCTGTGAAGTTTTTGACTATCAGTTGGCCATCTGCATCATGTTTTTTACATAATAACTTTAAAGATTCTACAGAACTTTAGTGGATGTCAATTGGAACAGAGTCCTTACTGATGTTAGCAGAAATGAAAATCTGACCTGAATAGCCTTAATGTGCTTCAGGTTCCTTTAGAGTGCCTTGCCATGGAAGTCAGGGGAGGTGAGCTCTGTGTTGCTGTTGTCTGCCCTTGCAAATCCTGTAGTTTTCTCTCCAGGAGATGCTGTCTTCCTTCCTTCAAGAGAATTTGAATTTTTTTTGCCTGAAAAAGTCAATTGAGCCATGTTCTACTCAGGCATTTCACTAGTGGTGAGGCAGACATAGCCTCCTGTGGATTACTTACGTTTGCTTCACTTTGTAATATGTATATTTGATAGAATAACCAACCCTGTATTTTCTGTCTTTGGGCAGTGAATCCACTCATGTATCAGTACAGAGGGGTTACATATCCATATCAGTACAGAGGGGTTGCATATCCATTAACAATTCTGTTAAATACCTGCAGATTGATATTACATTTTGTCTTGAAGTAAGTTTTCTTAATATAGCAGAAAATATTTCTCTGGGAAGAGAGAGAATCAGTTCCAAGAGTGGAAAACAACATGTGATGTCATCCTGTTGTAGGGAGATTCTGTCAAGATTACATCTATGAAATTAAAAATACCAAAAATGGGTTTTGCTCTTTCAAGGTGCCTTTTAGGTTTATATAATCTTTGATTTACTTCCTGTCATGACTTTGTGTATATAATTGCATATGTATGTACCCAAGGGAAATGTGTATTTCCCCAGAGAAATGGTCACGGCCCCAAGCCTGACATGGTTCAAAGGTATTTGGACAACATTCTCAGGCACATGGTGTGACTCTTGGGGATTGTCCTAAACAGGGCAGGAGTTGGACCCAATGATCCTGATGGGTCCCCTCCAACTCAGCATATTCTGTAATTCTGAGATTCTACATATACAAATACAAATTAATAAATAAATAAGTATATATAATCTCAGTTTCAGTTGCTAATAGCTGTATTTACAGCTTTCATACTCCATTCACATTCTACAATAAACAGGGATTTTTTTTTCCTGTACTGCTGTGCATTTGCAAATTTACGGCTTTTTTGGGGGGGATGATGTTTTTCCTGGGTGGTTTTATCATGGGGTTTGGGGTTTATTTTAGAGCTAGAGAAGAGCTCTGCTTCACCTAACATTTGGCCAGACAATTTTTGACTCTGAATAATCTGGTATAAATTCAAATATATGTAAAATGGAGCAGGATGTTTTCACTGGCTAGAGCAGAATGTTTGCTGGGTTTTTACAGGTTATGTAACCTTTTCTCCATTTTCTACACTTAAAAAAGAAAAGCAGGTTCAGATATTGCAAATTTTAATTAACCTGTACATAGTTCTTTAAGACCAAAACCCACAAAAAGTTGTAGAACTACAAACACAGCAGCTAGCAAAATAAACTCCCATTGAAAACTCGCGCTTTACTTATGCTCTACTGTGGTGGAAATTGTAAATCTTCTAAAACAAAAGCTGTTTTTTGATGGGGATCGAAATGAAGGTTTTGATACAGATTCAGAAGACCTACATAAATGTTATTTAGATTTCTGTGCTTAATGTTTTCTTTTTAGATAGGAATCTCTGAGCATCTGAACTGTAGAAAATAGAAGTCAGAGGAGGGTCAGATGATGAGTGATGTCATTCAGGGCCCCACCTTGGGAGTGGTGCTCTTTGATACCTTCATCAAGGACACAGGCAGTGGGATTGAGTGCACCCTCTGTGAGTTTGCAGATGACACGAAGCTGAGCTGTGCAGTTGGCCCAGCAGAAGAATGCGATGCTGTCCAGAGGGACCTGGACAAACTTGAGGACCTCATAAAGTTCAACAAGTCCAAGTGCAAAGTACTGCAAATGGGTTGAGGCAATTAAGGAGATGAGCACAGACTGGAAGAAGAACTTATTGAAAGCAGCCATGATGAGAAGGTCTTGGGGTACTGGTGTATGAAAAACTGGATGTGAGACAAAAATGTGCACTTACAGCCCCGAAACCCAACCAAATCTTGGGCTACATCAAAAGCAGTGTGCCCAGCAGGTCAAGGGAGGTGGTTCTCCTACTCCACTCTGGTGAGATCCCACCTGTAGTGCTGCATCTGGCATCCTCAACACAAGAAGGCCATGGACCTGTTAGACTGGGCTCAGAGAAGAGGAAAAAAAGATGAACAGAGGGCTGGAGCACTTCTCCAATGAAGGCAGTTTGAGAGAGTAGGGGTTGTTCAGCTTGGAGAAGGGAAGACACTGGGGAGACCTGCAGGGAGCCTTCCAGTGCATAAAATGGGCTTATAAAAAGCAGGGAGAGTGACTCTTTACATGGGTAGATAGTGATAAAACAAAGGGGAATGGTTTTAAACTAAAAGGGGGAAGGTTTAGATTAGATATTAGGAAGAAATTCTTCACTATGAGGATGGTGAGGTATAGAAAAAAGTTGCCTAGAGAGGTTCTGGATGCCCCAGGGCAGGGGGTTTAGAATTAGATGTTCTTTAAACTCCCTTCCAACCCAAACCAATCTATGATTCTATTATATGGGTCACCTGTGTCTGTGCCACTGGACCTCTCCCACCTTGGAAGAATCACAGTTTTTGGTGTAGAGAGGTTTCTTATTTTAGTATTTGAAAGGTGTTCTCTAAAAGAAGTAGGAAAATTGTGCAGATGAAGAGAATATAAATTTTTCATTAACTTTGAAGCAACTGGTCCCAGATGCTCCTTAGGGAATATCTTCTTTTTAATACACTAAACTGCAGCCTAAGACTCAAAAATTCTGTTAAATTACTCTTAGTTTACAGTATTGAATCCAGAAATATTCCTTTTCGGACCAAAATCTGCATATCACATTTTTGGGTTTGGGTGTGGCACAATTGTCAGTGACTAGTATTTTGAACTATGTTCAGTCTTCAAAACTGAAAGATGCAGTCCTGAAGGAGTGAATTTATTCCTATATGTGAAAATACCTAGAAAATATATAGATTGAAGTGTATAATCTTCTTTTAGTTAATATTATTGAACTATGGCAAGAAATCTTAATAAAACATTGAAAAAATTCTTAAGAATAGATAGGTCTCAGCAATCTCTTAATCTAAAAAAATTAGTTTTCACTAGCATATTTCAAATAGTATGAAATAACTTGCTGGAGTCGGTAAAAAGATAGATTTATATAACAAAACAAAACAAAAAAAGAAACAAAGAGGATTCTTATCTCTTAAGAAATAGTAAAAACTCAGTGGGAAAAAATTACAAAACCTGAGCTGAGATATATAGCTAATGTCTGAAGAAAAAAGTACAATGAAGGATTGCTCCGTAGATATTAGTATGTCCTTTGAGACAGCTTATCTGCATTTCTGCTCTTCTCTTCTGCGCTTATATTCCTCCTCCATTTGTATTCAGAGCAGAGTTATTCCAGCTTCATTCTTAAAGTTTATTTTGAAGAGCAAAGTGGTCTGTGCTGCCACCCTTCATGATACAGCTCCTCTTCCATGCTGGTTGGACAGAAGGAATTGGGAGTGAGGTTAGGGCAGAAAATAAACCTGAACTGGACCTTAACTTTTCTAGGGAAAGTCAATTGGCAATTCCCTGCGCACAGCATATCAGGAAATTGGAAAAACACAGGATCCTGCATTAAGGTACTTCTGGCATTTCTGATATGTTCAGTGTCCTCTCTTCTTTTTCAAGGAATC